AGCTGCAGACAAAGTGAAAGTTTTTTTAAATCTAAAACGAAGAAAATACTGAGATAGTATGGACCATACCTCAATGGGGGTGTATGAGATTGGGTGTACATGTATCAGTCCTGTAAAAATCACTCAATTATCACCCAAAGACACGTTAAGACTCTACATTACAGGTGCTGGTCATAAAATTAGAATATCATGAAAAAGTAGATTGATTTCAGTAATTCCATTTAAAAAGTGAAACTTGTATATTATATTCATACATTACATACAAACTCATATATTTCAGATGTTTATTTTGTTTAATTTTGATGATTACAAATGACAACAAATGAAAATCTCAAATTCATCATATCAGAAAATTAGAATATTGTGAAAAGGTTCAAAATTGATGGCCCCTGGTGCCACACTCTAATCAGCTAATTAACTCAAACCACCTGCAAAAGCCTTTAAATGGTCTTTCAGTCTAGTTCTATAGGCTACACAATCATGGGGAAGACTGCTGACTTGACAGTTGTCCAAAAGACGACCATCGACACCTTGCACAAGGAGGGCAAGACACAAAAGGTCATCGCTAAAGAGGCTGGCTGTTCACAGAGCTCAGTGTCCAAGCACATTAATAGAGAGGCGAAGGGAAGGAAAAGATGTGGTCGAAAAAAGTGTACAAGCAAGAGAGATAACCGCACCCTGGAGAGGATTGTGAAACAAAACCCATTCAAAAATGTGGGGGAGATTCACAAAGAGTGGACTGCAGCTGGAGTGAGTGCTTCAAGAACCACCACACACAGACGTATGAAAGACATGGGTTTCTGCTGTCGCATTCCTTGTGTCAAGCCACTCTTGAACCACAGACAGCGTCAGAAGCGTCTTGCCTGGGCTAAAGAGAAACAGGACTGGACTGCTGGTGAGTGGTCCAAAGTCATGTTCTCTGATGTAAATTTTGCATTTCCTTTGGAAATCAAGGTCCCAGAGTCTGGAGGAAAAGAAGAGAGGCACTTCATCCACGTTGCTTGAAGTCCAGTGTAAAGTTTCCACAGTCAGTGATGGTTTGGGGTGCCATGTCATCTGCTGGTGTTGGTCCATTGTGTTTTCTGAGGTCCAGGGTCAACGCAGCCACATACCAGGAAGTTTTAGAGCACTTCATGCTTCCTGCAGCTGACCAACTTTTTGGAGATGCAGATTTCATTTTCCAACAGGACTTGGCACCTGCACACAGTGCCAAAGCTACCAGTACCTGGTTGAAGGACCATGGTATCCCTGTTCTTAATTGGCCAGCAAACTCTCCTGACCTTAACCCCATAGAAAATCTATGGGGTATTGTGAAGAAGAAGATGCAATACACCAGACCCAACAATTCAGAAGAGCTAAAAGCCACTATTAGAGCAACCTGGGCTATCATAACACCTGAGCAGTGCCACAGACTGATCGACTCCATGCCACGCCGCATTGCTGCAGTAATACAGGCCAAAGGAGGCCCAACTAAATACTGAGTGCTGTACATGCTCATACTTTTCATGTTCATACTTTTCAGTTGGCCAACATTTCTATAAATCCTTTGTTTTTATTGGTCTTCAGTAATATTCTAATTTTCTGATATGATGAATTTGAGATTTTCATTTGTTGTCATTTGTAATCATCAAAATTAAACAAAATAAACATCTGAAATATATGAGTTTGTATGTAATGTATGAATATAATATACAAGTTTCACTTTTTAAATGGAATTACTGAAATCAATCTACTTTTTCATGATATTCTAATTTTATGACCAGCACCTGTATAGGTCACACCACAGCTCCAAGACATACTGCACATTCCACAAATAACAAGATCCACAGACAAGAATAAGGAAGTGATTTACATTCTTGTCACCAAAAAGTTCTTGAATGCAAATTACAAACCACAGGATTGCGTTAAGATATTGTGACAGAAAAAACATGTTGGTCCATTTTTGTTGTTGTTAAATCTTAAAAAAAAAAACAAAAAAAAAACAACACACTAAAGTTAAACCAGTCTGACATTAACCAGCTGGTAAGAGTCACTAATTGAAAACTTGGCATACAGCAAATAGTAAACGGAATGAATGGAATTTTGAGTTCTACTTTCCTTGGATTCAGGCTGATATGGCCACTATAACCTACATTGTCTTGGTCAGGTACAAAAACCACGATTAAAAGAGATAAAGTCTCAACCAACCATATACGTAATGATGTAATGTAACTGTAAATTGTGGCTATTCTCCTGCAAGTATAGCCATCAGACATGAAATAATTAGGTCATACCTTCTTCAACTGTGAATAGTGGAATATAGATTTCTTCCTTGATTCTTTATACTTTCATATGATCAGATAGCAGGATGTTTCAGCTAATTCTAGCTTTATTTTTCTTGTAAGCACATCAAACTGTCATCCTATTAAAACAAGGCCTTTGTATGTCATCAATGCGACACCTCTTATAAAAACAACTGTGTTAATGTCAACAAAAACAATATTTACACTTACGTTTATAGTTCGTATCTGTAGCCTCTTTATTGCTTTATATCCATTCAATTACTCCAAGTCTCAGTGATAAGCGTAAAAGCAGGATATAATCCAGTTAGGTTTCATTCAACTTTTTATTTTATTTTTGTTTTTAAATGTGAAAATCAATCATTTCTGAAGAACTACTAACAGCCTGCAGGACAACTTTCAGACCATCTCTATGATTATATTAAATATGGGGCAAAACAATTAAGTAAAAAAGCAGATTATTGTTGATTATTTTCAAATAAAGTGAGGTATGCAAGAATATTTTAATGAAACAAACAGGAAATTTGGAGGAGCTCCGTTTTTCAAGTAAACAATTGTGTGATTTTGCCATGATTTGAAGTACCGGTAAAAGGCATGTTGGAGGAGTTTGAGATGTGTGGTACAGGTTCATACATAATTAGAATTAAAGCAAAAAAGAAGGACTGGTAAAAACAACTACTTTTTATTAAAGCTAAAAATAAATCAGATGAGATTTTAACTAAACAGTGATATCCTATACATAAGAGTGTCCAGCTGCTTGTAGGCCAACATTTGTACCACTCTTCCATCAGATGGCTTTAAAGTCGTAGGGAAACGGCTGTTCCAACTGTTGCATTGCCGAATTCTCCTGATTGGTGCCCGGCTTTACACAAGTAAATAAAGTGAAAGTTTGCAAGAAAGTTTGATCGTGGCTGGTTACTTGGAAGCATTGTTGCTAACCAATTAGCAACTTAGTGCTAGTAGGTTCCCAAAGGGAAATTACAATGTGATGAAGTAGCACTTAATTGGTGACTTAGAAATGACACTGTCAAAGGAGCTATGGACAGCAGAAACATGCAAGAGGAGAGTTTTGTGTCAGAGGTCATGGATGAGTCTCCTCAATCATAAATGTTGTGTTTAGAGGAGGAAAGTGGGGACGAAGATGTTGTGGAAGAGGATGCCAGGGCGGCAGGAGCTTGGTTTGGTGTAGAAGGCTTACAGCCGTACATGTTTGAGCCCTTGCCTCGTAAACGCTGCCATTTCTGTTAGCTCTACGCCTGCTGAAGACACAGGTGTCCATCCCCGTGAACACTGGGACGGAACTCAATGGTAAAGTAAATTATTCATATTTCTTATTTCAACCATTGCGTATATTAGCTGTGACATATAAAGACCGTTGATATATGATTGGCCAAATTTAGGTGTACAAGCTGACGTATAATTAACTGGCCTGCATAAAATAACGAGAGAGAAAAACAACACAGATTTTAAGACAGGATTTTTTATATTTTTTTATAGAAATTTTCTAAATTTGGTGAAAATATAGTCTGGTAAAGAGTACATTTATATACATGTTTAAGCCAAAATGATTTGACATTTAAATATTATTTCCCTACAACTTTAAAGAGCCCCCAAATTCTAACTTAAAAACATCTTTGTAGCAGATAGCTAAACATTTATGCTTTATAATATATTTCAGTCTTATTAAGTTTAAGATCCCAATCTCAAAGCGAAACCCCACCTTTTTTTATTGTTTTGATTATAAGCAATGAAAATGTAAGTGTATGAAACAGATCAATATAAATTTAGAGGCATGAATTAAGTTAAAAAAAATAAAACTAAAATTTATGAAATTTTATTCATACCTTTCATTCATTCTACCTGCACGTTATGTAGTCATCAAAATAAAATCAGGTAAAATCAAATCTGGCCACTCAGAGCTCAAAGAAAAACAAGAAATTGGTACTAACCCAGGAAAGTTATTTTAATAAATTAGATCTAAATATTCCAGATGATAGATGTCTGGTTATCTTGTGTTATTAAAGAAATGTCAAGCCTGTTTGCATTCAGCCACCCTTTGGTTGGATCTACAAAACAAGGCCTGTTTCTGTAAACATCTGCAGGCAGCAGTGAAACAGACATATTGGTCTGCTGTGATTTTGTTCCTGTGGGGTCTGGAGTTTATAAGCAGGAGTCTGTGAGCAGTTTTTTCCACTGTAAAGGGTTAAAGAGAAAAGTTAACAGAGCAGAGCCGCAGCCCTGTGTTTACACTGCATGAAGACACAAGTTTACACCCAAAGCTTCCCAACACAAACACAGCTTCCTACCTCACACACAGACACGGCACGGAAAAGACATGCGTGGAATGAATCCTAAACAGTCTGTCAGAATCCCCCCTAAAAACAAAGGAACAATACGAGAATAAACAACGACTTTAAATGGCTCCAGAATTTAGAATCTGTTAATAACAAGTTTCACTAAGGCTGATACTTAAACTGGAAGTCCTGCGGGTGCAGCGCTGCACATTTTCACCGATTTCTGTCTGTGTTTTAAATGCAAACTGGTAACAGCGGCTGTATTGCGCAACATCTTTGCCTTTTTCTCTGTTGACTTTAAAGAGCGACGCAAACTTCGAGGCGCAGTTAAAGCTGAGAGGAAGAAAGTCTGAGCAGCAGCCACCTGAACAGAGACAGCAGAGCAGGGAAGCTGCTTCACACAGGAAGGAGAAGGAAGAAGGCAAACCTGGAGGCGAAGCGCGCGGCTTTTCTGTTCATGAAGCATCCGCGCTGCAGCGGCTTGGAACCGGACGCCTAAAACCAGAAAGTCATTCAGAAAGCGGCGGACAGCTCCTCCATACTGAACTAATCACGTGTCTGACAGACTCCCGTTTCCGTAGTGGGTGGGGTCTGCGGACAACTGTGGAAAAAAATAAAACATACCGTACCTATGAATGAACCCTAAGGAAGGTTAGAGCCACTGAAAGTATAAAAAAAAGTTAACTGATTTTTACATTTTATTTCAGTTTAATATGGAGAAAAAATCGGTCTTTAATCTCAGAATTCTGACTTTTTTCTCAGAAATCTGACTTTAATTTAAAAATTCTGAAATTTTTCTCAGAATTCTGGCTTTAATCTCAGAATTCTGACTTTTTTCTCAGTATTCTGACTTTAATCTGAGAATTCTGATTTCAATCTTAAAATTCTGACATTTCGCTCAGAATTCTGGCTTTAATCTAAGGATTCGGGCTTTTCTTCTCCGAATTTTAAATTTAATCTCAGAATGCTGACTTTGATCTCAGGATTCTGCCATTTTTCTCAGAATTCTGACTTTAATCTCAGAATTCTGACTTTAATCTCAGAATTCTGACTTTTTTCTCAGGATTCTGACATTTTTCTAAGAATTCAGACTTTTTTCTCAGAACTCTGACTTTAATCTCAGAATTCTGGCTTTAATCTCAGAATTCTGACTTTTTTCTCAGTATTCTGACTTTAATCTGAGAATTCTGATTTCAATCTTAAAATTCTGACATTTCGCTCAGAATTCTGGCTTTAATCTAAGGATTCGGGCTTTTCTTCTCCGAATTTTAAATTTAATCTCAGAATGCCGACTTTAATCTCAGGATTCTGCCATTTTTCTCAGAATTCTGACTTTAATCTCAGAATTCTGACTTTAATCTCAGAATTCTGAATTTAATCTCAGAATTCTGACATTTTTCTAAGAATTCAGACTTTTTTCTCAGAATTCTGACTTTAATCTCAGAATGCTGACTTTAATCTCAGGATTCTGACATTTTTCTCAGAATTCTGACTTTAATCTTAGCAATACGACTTTTTTTCTCAGAATTCTGACTTTAAGCTAAGAATTCTTACTTTTTTCTCAGAATTCTGAATATAATCTTAGAATTCTATTTTAGATTTAATCTCAGAATTTTATTATGATGGTAATCATGAAGGAAGAGATGTAGGAGCAGTGCACTCAGCTTCACTGAAAAAGGTGTGAGTTGTTTGGTAAGGCTAGTAACTCATTGGGGGGAAATTACGAAGTTAGATGACTTTTTACGTGCCCAAGGGAAGGTGATTAAAACAAGAGAGCTAGTTTAGTTTCTAAAACAGAAATGGCTACGGCTTGATGCTAACATGTTTGTTAGCTGTCAGAATTCAGTCAGAATTCTGATGTTTTTCCCATATTAAACTGAAATAATATTTAAAAATCTGTTTTTTTATTTTTTCCCTTGGCCCTAATTCTCTTCCATAGAAGCCCGTGAATCTGAGTTCTCTTTTATTTCCCATTCTGTTTGTTTTAAATGTTGCCACCCTGCTTCAGTGTTTAAAAAAAGTCAGAATTTAATTAATCAGAAAATGTGAGAACACTGTCAGAATTGAGGTAATAAAAATGGTGGTACATTTTACATAGGCTATATCTTTGTACAGTTGGCACTACTACTGCAGAGAGTATCCACGTTTATAAGTTGGACTATTAAATTCAATTTCAAAATAACAAATACCCAGCTATATAAATTAAAGTTTTACAGCCTGAGCGTAGGGCCCCATAGTTTTGCCCTTTGAAGCCACAGGTCTGTGAAATGCAGCAGCAAAAGCTTTAAGGGGCTATTAATTATATCCACACTGATTTATAATTACCTAAAGTGGGGAAAAAATGAACAATGATTTAATGTAAAATGTAAAAAATAAAGAATAAAAACTTAAAGGTTAACTTAAGTACCTCTTCAATCTGTTAAGCACTGGGTCTCCTGCAATGTAAGGAGCCTGCATTTTTTTCCCTCCATCAAACCAGCCATTTCTACTAATTCTGGAACTAATTATTTTAGGATTAACTGTACTTCTTTGCATTCTTTTTGATTCTAAAGTTAATAAATCATACTTACATACAAGATCTGGATAATAAAGCTCTAAAATATATTTTGTTAGAAATAGACTAAAAATGTCCCTGGTTTGGACAGAATCTCATGGTGAGGTCATGGTGTCTGATTCCGGAACACCAGGGTCTCCTTTTTGCTTTGACCTGATGTTGTGGTTTTCTTGTTTTTTCTGAACTGGAAGATTGTGAACTGCTTCCTCCAGGTGGGGAGTCAGACCCCACATGAAGCAAAGCGTACGAATCTCTCTGCCTTGGGGACAAGTGATGGTGGAATGAAGTAGAAGACAGATAGACTGATTTGTGCCTCTCTGAAAATGTTAAGGGTAAAGATCTGGTCTGTTATTTTCAGGAAAGAGTTGAGGTAAAAACCTAAGAGCTCCATTTACTGATCCTTCGATGCTCTGATTCTCACATACCCAATATGTATGTAGGATAATGACTGAAAGAACAAGATCCTGGATACAAGTGCTTAAAAGCTATTTTTGAAGGATGACTGAAATTAGAATATAGACAGGTTAACCACCTGACTAGCTCACCATCAGGTATGAAAAAAAGAGTTGATTTTAGCACCACTGTAGCAGCAGTAAAAACACAGATTACATAAATACCAGCGCTCATCTAAACAGAAAATTGGACAATTCAGCCTGGAATAAACGTTCTTTGGAAGAAAAAAAACATGCAATGACAGTTTAATAAGTATCCACTCAGCTGAGCTTGCTTGCATTCGCAGTAGAAGAAAGCCAAAGTGGGAAAGCTCAACCCGGCAAAACCTTCCTCTGACAACATAATTAGTATTGTTCCAAATTTGTCTACAGCTCTGTAAAACAGGCCAGTTAAAGAGGGTAATTTTGTCTCTCATTTAACACTCCTGCAAACAAATGTATAACAACTATATATGCTACAAGCTTAAACTGTTGTAATATGCACAGCTAAACAGTTTCTCAACATACACTATATTGCCAAAAGTATTTGCTCACCTGCCTTGACTCACATATGAGCTTAAGTGACATCCCGTTCCTAATCCATAGGGTTCAATATGACGTCGGTCCACCCTTTGCAGCTAGAACAGCTTCAACTCTTCTGGGAAGGCTGTCCACAAGGTTTAGGAGTGTGTTTATGGGAATTTTTGACCATTCTTCCAGAAGCGCATTTGTGAGGTCGCACACTGATGTTGGACGAGAAGGCCTGGCTCTCAGTCTCCGCTCTAATTCATCCCAAAGGTGTTCTATCGGGTTGAGGTCAGGACTCTGTGCAGGCCAGTCAAGTTCATCCACACCAGACTCTGTCATCCATGTCTTTATGGACCTTGCTTTGTGCACTGGTGCACAGTCATGTTGGAAGAGGAAGGGGCCAGCTCCAAACTGTTCCCACAAAGTTGGGAGCATGGAATTGTCCAAAATGTCTTGGTATGCTGAAGCATTCAGAGTTCCTTTCACTGGAACTAAGGGGCCAAGCCCAGCTCCTGAAAAACAACCCCACACCATAATCCCCCCTCCACCAAACTTTACACTTGGCACAATGCAGTCAGACAAGTACCGTTCTCCTGGCAACCGCCAAACCCAGACCCGTCCATCAGATTGCCAGATGGAGAAGCGCGATTCGTCACTCCAGAGAACGCGTCTCCACTGCTCTAGAGTCCAGTGGCGGCGTGCTTTACACCACCGCATCCGACGCTTTGCATTGCACTTGGTGATGTATGGCTTGGATGCAGCTGCTCGCCCATGGAAACCCATTCCATGAAGCTCTCTGCACACTGTTCTTGAGCTACATGAAGTTTGGAGGTCTGTAGTGATTGACTCTGCAGAAAGTTGGCGACCTCTTCGCACTATGCGCGTCAGCATCCGCTGACCCCGCTCCATCAGTTTACGTGGCCTACCACTTCGTGGCTGAGTTGCTGTCGTTCCCAAACACTTCCATTTTCTTATAATACAGCTGACAGTTGACTGTGGAATATTTAGGAGTGAGGAAATTTCACGACTGGATTTGTTGCACAGGTGGCATCCTATCACAGTTCCACGCTGGAATTCACTGAGCTCCTGAGAGCGACCCATTCTTTCACAAATGTTTGTAAAAACAGTCTGCATGCCTAGGTGCTTGAATTTATACACCTGTGGCCATGGAAGTGATTGGAACACCTGATTCCAATAATTTGGATGGGTGAGCAAATACTTTTGGCAATATAGTGTATATATGGAACTATCTGGTAGATGACAAGGTTTCTTAGTCAGATCATCTCATTTTGATTTATTGGTTTTCAAAGGTAATGTTCCCACTTTTCCAGAGACATTGAAGAAGAATTACTTATCACTACTTTTAAGATTGTAACTTTTAGATCATCTTATTTTCTATACTTTTTTCTTTGCTATTTGGTTTATCTGTCGTAGTCTTCTTCTAAACCTTCTGTTGAGTACCAAGGAGTTTTAATTTAAAAAAATCCTCCTTCTCACATGTAAAGCCTTACATCGCCAAGCCTCATTTTATATCAGAGATCTGATTGGTCCTTATGTTCCTAAAAGAGCACTTCATTCTAAATCAGCAGGTTTACTAGTGGTTCATAGAATATCTAAAAGTAGAATGGGGGGCAGATCTTTTAGTTATCAGACTCCTCTCCTGTGGAACCAACTACCAGTTTTAGTCCATGAGGCAGACACCCGTTCTACTTTTAAGGGTAGGCTTAAAACTTTCCTTTTTTTGATAAAGCCTATAGTTAGAGGGGATTGGGTTATCCAGAGCTATTTCTATAGTTATGCTTCTATAGGCTTAGACTGCTGGAGGACAAAGGTACCACTTTTTTCATCATTCTGCTTTATTCTATCTCCATTCTCCCATTCTGCAGAATATGTTATTTCAATCTTTATCTGCTTTTTCTCATAGTAGCTTCATCTGCTCTGTTCCTGTTTGTCTGTGACACCATCCTGGAGAGAAATATCAACTGTGATGTTGCCATCAACACCTTTGTTTATAGATGTTGGAGCTAGACCTGTTTTTCAGTGCATGCCTGGT